TTACTATGAAGGCTCACTCGCGCCATTACCATCAAATCTCAAATACTAGGAATAAGACTACATTACATGGATGAAATTACATCTCACAGCAGGGTGCCCAAAAGATGGCTGAATTCTTTAGTATAGTTAATATATATACCTAAAGCGAGAGAGCTGTCAAGCCTTTGGTCTTTTTTAAAAATGTGGAATCATCTGTTGGAAAGATCCGCGGTCGATCACCTAGCCGATGAAGTGACCAAGTGACCGCCCTCACTGTCTCCCCATAACAACTGCCCTAAGAACAGAACTAGATGGGAGAAAATCGTCCATAAAGTCTCGAAAACCGTTCGGGGACACGACTGTCAGCAATAAAGATCCGTTACAATTAACGTGGATGATTGGTATTTGTAAGAAATATTCGTCGTTATAATTTCACATCTAATTCAAAGTTGTTTTTTTTTTTTTTTTTGGTGAAAAATGTTTAACTCAGTATAACGGCGCCGATATGCCCACGAAAAATTTAACAACGGGAGAAAGCAGAAAACAAATGTAAATATAATAGTATTCCTCTACTTTCGTTAATAGCATCATAATTCATAATGAAGAATGTTTTCACTTAACGAATAATGTAAGTAACCTGATTCTTCTTATTTTTAATGATACTTTAACATCAACACAAGAAGTACATGTAACTCACTTTTAGCGTTCGAAACCGAAATGACCTAATCATATTCTTTGAACTTACTTTCCGTGACTTGTTAGAACGTTTTTTTTTATAATCGAAGTGAGGTTCTAACATGAATCGTTTAAATACCAAATCGAGTCAATATTGAAAAGGCATGTGTACCTCCAAATTGTCCGTCCACAAATTACTACTGAGCTTACACACATCCACTTAAGCCTCCCCCTGAGCAAGCCAACTCTCCCGGTCTGGGGCTCTACTCCCGTTCTCGGTATGACATCCGTCCGAAACAATTACTATCAAATAAGTAATACCAAATTAAAAGGCATTTTTGTTTTAATTTCTTTTGTTTCGGATGGAGAACGAAAGTACAGGACCTGTACTGCTCGCATCCAGTCGCTGCCGGCCACTTTTCTCAGGCAGCCTTCCATATTGCTGCAGGGCATCCTATAATACTACGTTTGCCTTGCCGTGGTAGCCACTCTAGAACAAGTCTGCTTCATCGGTCATTAGCCCTCCTGCAGACATACCCGGCCCTTTTTCACTTAAGCTTCCAGATTTTGTATGACTGAAATTGTCCATAAGATATTTTTATTAGTAGTTGTAGAGCAACTTGTGAAAGAGTTCGTCCAGGGAAGTACTGCCATCTTACCTATTTCTGCCGCCAAGCTGTAGCGAGCATTATGCGTTCCGGTTTGGAAGGTGTACGGTCTGTCTGTACAGTTTAGTCAGGAGAAGTCCTCTGCTCGCGTCGGAGGTTTAGTCAGGACTGCCCTCATTGTCCTTTGTCCAAAGAAACGAAGGTCGGTCGTCGTCTTTTGTCCAAAACAAAGTCGGTCTAATTTCGAATTCCTGTCAGTCAAGTAAATCTGTCTTTGTGGCCTGACAATCTGGTCATCCATGGATCCTAGACATTGGTCATCTATGGAGACTGGACCCGACAGAAGGGTTAAAGGTGCTAGTGAAATTACAGGCACTTGGGACATGTCAACTTATGTCTCAGTGTGTAGGGCGCAGTGGCAGTGCCCCTAAGTTCGTTGCGTTTTAAAGCTCTGAGTGGCATTGCAACTGTTAGGGACAAGCGTGTCGCTTACCAACAGGTGCACGAATTGTTCATCCCATCACTCGGTATTATAAAAAAAATGGTACTTAGGTAATTACCTGTTACCATAATTAAATAAGTTTATTTTTAATTTAAACTTTAAATTTAAAATAAAAAAACAAGTAAGTCATTTATTTTGAACATTTTATATTACAATTGAGAAAGATTAGAATGACAAAAGAACGAGTTGCTAAATAACAGGTATGTCAGTCTTCGTAAAGCGATTTGCGTCGACGATAAGCGAAAAGCGTTGCGAGTATCGTAGGCTTCTTAATAATGAATATTCATAACTTCATTTGCTTAAATAAGCGCGATACATCATGTTAAGGAACGCCGCGCGTGAAAATATTCAGAATGGAAAGTACATTTGAAATATATGTGAATCTTGGAGAATTTTCGGGGACCGGAATTAATTAATTACGTATTATTATTTGATAATACCGTACATAAATTAATTAGCAGTAGAGCTCGTTGTTAAAGAGTACTGCCCAGGGAAGTACTGCCACCCTATCTATTTCTGCCGCCAAGCAGTAATGTGAGCATTACTGCGTTTCGGTCTTGAAGTGTAAGGGTGCTGGCAAAATTACAGATTGTTAACTTATGTCCCAGGGTGACGGGCGCACTGGCAGCGCGTCTCAAATCTTTGCGATTTAAAGCACTGAGTGGCAGTGCAGCTGTCATGGACAGGCGTGACGTGAAAATTCGCGTATCTTTAATAAATTCACTTCTCGTATGATGCAATTTACAGATTAAATTAAGAACACCACATTTTGATAAGGTCCTCGAGGGATTATTAACCACAAAATCAGTTGATTCGTTTTCAAATAAGAATCTTATTATGGCCTGGTGACAGGAACTAATAAGAACAAATTATTTTATTAAAATCAATTAACTGATGTAACGGACGACCATGTACCTTAATTTGCTTGTCGTAATTCTTTGAGTGTCTTATGCAGTACCTCTGTGAACTTTTTTAAATTGCCCGAAGTTACGTATACCGTTTTTATTCCTAAAATAACATTAAAGTATAATAACGTCGCGTGTAGGTGACTTAAGTAAAGAGTTTCATGCGCAAGTAAAAATATTATAGAAAATACAAATATGGGGGATAACATTGTTACACGAAAGCTTACCTAGCTATTTCCAAGTCAGCGATCGAACGTTACGGCTCATTATAGGGCTTGTTATGTGAACCGCTTTATGCAACATTCTCAAATATCTACAAACAAATTTTCAATTTTAAGTTCTTAAAAAAACCGCCTATTATCGCTTACGATAAGTTAACTATATAAGAAGCTTATACAAAATAAACTCAGAAGAAATATTTTAAAGACGTTTGATCTGAAGTTGAAGTAAAGCTACAATTAAAAAAAATGGTCTCGTTTATATGTATACATATTTGCAGGCCATATGTATACCAGAGACCACATAAATGTATACCATAGGTACAAAATAAGCCGTTTATATACACAATCTACAGATTTCACGTATATTTTTTAAATTGTTCAATCCACTCCACCTAAATTAGTTTAATTTTACGTAACAAACATTAATATTAAAAGTTCCTCAACGAACAGTAATTTGATTAATTAAAGCTTAACTATTAAATTGATATACCTGATAAAATAAACTATCTCAGTTTATGTACAACACACTGCTGTACACAGGTTTCCTCCTAGACAAGGTAATTATAATTACTATAATAATAATAATCCACCAGACAACCACCCCAATTACCTAATCTCAAATTAGGAACTTCCCTTTATTATGAATACCAGAGCAACAGATTTTGCTCTGCGGCACTACCCAGACCACTCATACCATAATTAATTTAGTAAAGATATTTCACTGGAAATCGAACCCAGAGAGGTCCTGGGTCATCCAGCACCCACAGTGTACTAAACCGCGGGGCAACTGAGGTCGTCAAAACAATACATTGAAAACAACTAAATCTATTTAAGTAGTCGTTCTACAGTTTATTGTTTAAATATGTACCTACCTAAATGGGTAAGTATATCTAATCGCGCGATAGCTTGGTGGTGGAAACTGATAAACTTCATTACATCGTGAACAGTTACCATTTAGCGAAAATAGCACAAAGGTAAATTTACAGGCATATTATATTATCATCCATTTGCATGATCAGAGTGAAGTAACATGACAAGCGTGGCTTTGTCAACACAGATCAAGCATGATCAAGGATGCGATAAAAATAAACATTACATAATAGATGAAACTGACGACGCAATCAGAGTAAGGTTATCGGTTTCCACTAATAGGAGACCGCTCGATCAAAGTACACTTACCCACCATTCGTCACTCCTATCTTCAGTCGTGCGTGAACATCATATTATGGGTACCCATTTGTTTTATACGTAGCTAATGGTTTCTAAGTCGTAACAAATAAATACATAGAAAATTGCTAACATAGCATTGCACGACATCATCCATTGGTAAGTGTGCGCTGAAGCGTTGACCCTTGATTCGGTCTCGATAAGAACCGAAAATACTTTGTTGACCGCATACCGACGAAATTGGGTCGTATAAATAAATAATTTTACGATGTTACCCTCACAACTAACACTTAACAACCTACCCTTAAACGTACCTCTGTGGAGTTGCGATAAAAATGAAACGGAGATGCTATTACATATTTGTATTTTGTATAAGTTTACCGAGTAAAATGAACCAAAATTATAATATTAAGTCATGGTAAACATTTTGTAAGTTCTCAAATAGGTGCAACTGTATTATATTGAAATAAAAAACAATCTATTATTACTGAAAATACCAGTTATTTGTATTAATCTTTCCATAAACAACGTCAAAATAGTTTGTAGACACACTGTATTATTTTTTAGAGAAATATTAAAATATGTTAGCACGTTTACGTTATTATATTTACATACATATTTATATATATATATATACGTACATTAGACGTCGGTTCGAATCCGGCCGGATCGAAGGATTTTTTATCTGAGTCTACGATCTTTGTATTAATAATTATTTCAATTCTTTCAACATCATTTTCTCGGTTTTTGGAGTTTTTGTCACAAGCGCCTGTTCAACTAACAGCGGCAGATTGTACATACAGAATACTATACTCACCAAATTAGCTGCGCTGACGCAGTAGAGATAGATATATCCGAGTATCTTGCTCCTTCAAGGCCTACCTACCTACTATAGCGTGTGTACTACACACTGCACGCGTTAGTAATATTGTCACTACGCTCCGATAAGCGTGCACTAATATTTTAACTTTAGAGCCGATACTTACTTACATTTTGAGAACGTCTTATCATTAATTACTTAATTACATAGAAAAATAAAAACACGGAGTCTGATATATTATAAGAATAGTATAAAGTTGAGAGCAAACTGGAATTTATAACAGTACGTCCAATACGCTCACGCGGTGAGGTTATTATTGTACAATGGAGTGTTTACCAACAAACTCTTTATTAGAATTTCATCCAAATACTCTGCTAAGCATAAGGAAGACACATGGATTGGACGCACCAGGACAAATGAAGGAATTGGTAGATGAATTCGAAGAGTGGGTGAAAAATCAAGACCATTTTGTAAAGAAAGATTTCTGTGAGTACCAGTGCCTTATATTTATTGTGATATTTGTTTAATAAATAGTTATTTGTCGATGTTATTCACATACGTAACTTCTTTAAAGTTAAACCTTCGATACAAAGATTACACCACTACGGTCTTTCTTACTGAAAGTGTATACATGTATACATGTAACGTATGTATGTAAATTACTGTTGTATTTTGATTGTTACTTTACGACACTATTAATATTAATCGAAAGGTTTCTAGATTATAATCTAAATTTCATTATTATACCGAAGATTGACTCACGAAGATTCGTTGCCTTCTAGTCAGAAATACTTGAGATAGAACTGCATTAAATGAATGGAATTACGTCTCGTAGCAGAGTGCCTAAATGCTGCCAGTATTCCCTAATATAGCGAAGGTAATACTCACAGTGAGGTAGCTGGAAGCCCTTTGGATTTTCTAAAAAAAAGGATTGCAAGTACAAAAGGGTCAGTAGTCAGAATCAGTCAGTGAGGTAGCTGGAAGCCCTTTGGATTTTCTAAAAAAAGGATTGCAAGTACAAAAGGGTCAGTAGTCAGAATTTTGGCTTATCAATCCTTCCGCCAGCTCACTGGGTACAGCGCTCTTTGTCGAATAGTACGCACCCGTTCCATGAAATAAGGGTATCTATTGTTATTTTCTAGGTTATCGTGTTGACTGTTCCTAAAAACTACATTAATTGTGTTACGAAATAAGTTTTCCAGTTTCATTGTAGCATTTTGTGTCACTTATCCTTAGAGATTAGTAATTATTAGTTTATTACATTATATTTCCCGTAATGATAACGATACGTGATGGCAATTACGATTTTAATTTTAGGGGGAAGCGGGGCAGTTTGATACATTATCTCCATTCCTTCAAACATAATATTAGTTGTGATAATACTAAAACGTGCCTTTGTAGGTGTGAGAAATAGACGCGATCATCGCGTTACACCGCAGCTCACCAGTTAGCCGTTGTCGGTCGACGGGTCACAAAGTGTTTTCACAGCCGTTGACTAAAAACATAAGCGAAACAAATACGAGTGCCACTGCAGTTTTGTTCACTTTACAGGGTTTTATATTTTAATACATAGTATTAGCGTCTTCAAATGTCTTAATTACAAGTATGAATAAAATAAGTTCATTGGGTTTTTCAAATTATAATAGCGGAAGTCTGGAAATAAAATCATATTTAAGATGACATATTTAACATATTTAAAAGGAACTCTAATGACCAATTAGTACGTAACCGGACTTATACCTACAACTATCAGTTTCTTAGTTCTTAACGTCGAGCGACATCTAGCCGCAAAAAAAGGAATTTCAGTACCTACGTATAGATGTTGTCCAATATTAGTTCACGTAATATCAAATATACTTATTCGACCGATTTGTAGTAAGCTAATAAAAGATTAACGACTTCATTACAAAAATAAAGTCGATAATTTTTCTCCGAAATGCCGCGCGAGAAAATGATAATACTGACAAAAGACTTCCCAAAATCAGGGATAGATGGCGCGTTTCACAAAAAAATAATTTGTGTCGGAGGTTACCAGTGCAATGTAATTAACTTAGTTAGAGCATATAGGACGGGAGGCGCTATTAGCGTTATTTCTGGAACAAAACTTTCTGCTACTTTTTGAGGGGCGGGGGGGTAGTACCACAGGCAAACAGGAGCACACAAATGCAAAATTGAATTGTGTCACTATGGCCTCATACAAACATAAGTCTACAACACTAACTAACTTTTACAAACACACAGATAAAATACACATTCATATCATGTCCGTACACAGAATAGGCCTATAAAAATACATCAATTCTCATGAATATACTAGAGACGGAAAATTATCGACGTGATGCTGTCGATATATATTACGTACTGGTATATGAAAAATGTAATTCCACCCTTGGCTATACTGGATGTAGTGAATTTCTTTTTCCAATTTTGTGTGTAGTGTAACAGTGGTATTGTTTTACTTGTATTTACCACAGGAGATTGCCCATTGTCTTACAATAAATGGATGACAATAATACAATCCAAAGCCTAAACCAAAAACCGCAAAAAATTTCTGGACTTTTTTTTTTCAGTTTATGGCTTTTCGCGGTTAGCATTAGAGCCAATGACAAACGTAGTGACATATATAGAAATATTTAAAAAAACTAAAACGTTTAATTTAAACTGTAAAGTCATTGCAGTATTGCTTAATTTTGTTTGCCATAATTAAGTCCTAAAAATTATAGATATTCAGCTTCTACTCGAAATAACAAAATGCACCATATTTTGCTTCTAGTGAAAACTACTTGAACACAAGCGTGTTGGAGTAGTCTTAATGTCAATATTAATTAATTTTATAGTATTATGTTGAATTTAATACGAATTCACTTCAAATAATAAGAGTTGTGCGTCTCTCTGTTGGTGGTACCGATACATTTCTTACAGCACGTCATAACTGCTGTATGAAATGTACCGATGATTCGAATTTCTAGATTCCAACTAGAAGTAAACTCAAAGTTTCATAATCTCGAAAACCGATTTATAACAAAACCATTATGCTTCAAGGGATTTTGGTTGTTTATTACAAAGAAAAGATTAAATTAGTTTGTTTTGTAATATTCCTAAAATACCCTAAAAAAGGACATCTGAGATTACAAAAATTCGAGCAAACATGACTTCGGGCAAATGTATTTTCGGACTTCTGATTGATAACTCGAAACAGTAAAACGAATACAACAATATTTTGTTAGTTTTTATTACTAACATTTAATAAAAAATCATTGTAATAACCTAACATCCCGCTTAAAAAACCGACCTCAAAAGTCATTCATCCCCTAGGGTGGTATTTAAATGGTGGTAAATAAATATTTCACCTCTAAGGGTGGTAAACCCTTGGAAGTGGAATATTTCCTTCAAATTTAAATGTGACCACTTCTGAGGTATCCTCTTTCCAACAGAAAAAGAATCATCAAAATCAGTTCACAAATGGCGGAGTTATCGCGTAACATACATGCAAAAAAACATACAGACGAATTGAGAACCTCCTCCTTTTTTGAAGTCAACTGTATCATTTTTGTTCTAAATTTAAATATTTCAATCGCTTGTGGTTCGAAAATTGAAATTGACGTAACGGGTCTCTTCCTGTCTTTTGCGCATGTCTTGTGTAGGATAAGGACAGTTAGCTATTTGGTTATTTTTATTGCTTTTGTAATTTATTTGTATCGTGTGTATGTACTCGTATAAGAAAAAAATAAAAATAAAAAGTACTAACTTTTTATTTTTATCTTTTTCTTACAGCACGGCATGATTTATTTATTTTTGTACAAATATTAAACAATTACAATTTATTTTCATTATTTATAATTTATTACATTATTATTTAATATACAATACGACGGAGAAATCAATTTAAATAAACTTCATTACATAATCTGTCGATAAAGAGCGCGTCGCTTCTCTATAACGAAAAAAACAGCGTCCATGAAGTACTGCATTTTTGTGTCTATAGTTGCCTGTTAGTATATAGGGAACTTCATAGGCATGCTTATGTCAAATGTTCGAATGTTTTCAAATATTTTTTAAGTAGTCGATAAATTGAATCAATGTGATCGCTGTGAAAAAATGTCATAAAATAGAAAATTAGCAATTAATGTAAAAAATAGGCGTATGTATGAACGTAATTCCACCTTTGGCTAGAATGGATGCAGCAGATTTTTTTACATGCTTGCATAGCGCAAGACGACATGTTTCGTGGAGTACTTGACGCGGTGAATTCGATAATGGAAATGAAAAAACATCGATTTGAGAGTAGTGTTTATTATGCGATAGTTGTTTTGTGCTTGTACCTGGACAGATGGGATTGCCTATCGATGACGCCTCCAGTCCTATATGCTGTAAGGTTATTAATTAACTCAGTTTTTTTGTTATGGCTTAACTTCATGCCTTTTGACCATACCAGTATACAAAATAATTTCCTCTGAACTTTCGTCATGTCACAAACCCACGGCACCATTCAACTTGTATTAACTCTGGTTTCTGTAGTTTATTTTGATATAATAATACACCGAATATATATTATTCAATTACGTAACTCGTAACCTCCCAAACTTCAAACTGGAAATCTTTAGAAGCATTCCACATTTCATGCAACTTTAATATGAAATTTACTCAATTATATTTAACGCGTGGCTTTTGTAGAAAATGCAAGCTTACTACCTAAATTCTTAACTTATTCTTGAAATGTTTACCCCTCATCTTTATGTTGTAATCGTTTGAACTTCTCATAATCTCTGCTATTTAATTAGATATTTTTAAAGAAACAAAAAATAATTTAATATTTAAATTTCGAACGTTTGATATGTTTTTAGGTTACGTGAAGATAGAAAACATAATTTCAGTTCAGAGTACTAACAAAACCGACCTCAAAAGTACGTGGAATTACGTCTATTTGCTAAGTTTTATTGAAATATCCCCTAGTTCGCCACTATACAGGACTTGACACTGGAGATAATAATAATCGGTTCTCACTACTCAAAGTACATTGAGAGAAAAACGAATTGAATTGGAGAAATAGCAAAATCAACTATTAAAATAATTGCTCCTAAATTAAAGTCAGGCGCTATTTAGAAAAATGAATCTTCATGTGTGAACAGCCACCCTTAAAGATGAATGATTTTCTTCAAAATGAAATGGGACCACTATGGAAGTACCCCCTTTCCAACAAAAAAAGAATCATGAAAATCGGTTCACAAATACCGGAGTTATCGCGTAACATGCATACAAAAAAAAAGAAGACCATACAGTCGAATTGAGAACCTCCTCCTTTTTGAAGTCGGTTAAAAATAAGTTCTTCATTTAAAATAAAAAAATAAACGCTTGCCTAATAATTTTAGAAATATATCTTAAGATATCATACCTAACCTGTTTCGTCCCGCACAAGACGGTGCAATGTTTACATGATTTTTTTCACTGCATGCGGGTGGATTGGTTAGTTATGCGTTGTTATTCTAAGGTTGGTTATTTTTTTGGAAGCAAACAGGGTTTGTCAGTGACTAATTATTGTGCCAACATTTGCAATTTCATTTGTCGTAACAATCTGTATATTTAAACAACTAGTTTGGTCCCGCACAAGACGTATTGTACTTAAACTGTGATCTTGTCGATTCACGGACGTTAATACAATGTCTGATCAAAACAAATCCAGCCGAAACAAAAGATATCGTGAATAAAGAAAGGAAGAAGACCCTTATTACCAAAAAAAACGAAAATCATCGTATCAACGCTTTTAAAAAAGAAAGAAAGAGATATGTTTAGACTTACGAAATTAGCACATACGAAAGAGAAAAGAACAGAAGACAGAGGGAGAAAATACGGTGTCGGGCTAATGCCTCGACTTGCAAGTTGGGTTTTTACAGCGACACTGACTGCTAACGTCAACACCGACGACACCGTGCAGTTCAGTTTCGTTTCAGTCAGTACGCGGGGCATTCGATATCATTATAGATTGAATAGCACAGGCAGAATACCGAACACTTTCTACATTTTCAAGCAAGATAATCCTACCGCCAAAGTTGGCTTTTCTAAACTTTGTGAACTACACGAAAACTTTAATTTAAAATTAAAGGCGTTGAAAATTAGATACGACCCATATTTTTGGGAAGCTATTTTGTGCAATTGTGTAAATACTTCAGCTTGCTGGGAAAACACTTGTGAATCGTGTCGAGATCGAGATTTGCGGAACTTCAGTTGCCAGAAAACATGCTGCAGTCTATAGTTTGGAAGCAATGGGAGAAAGATACAAGTGAAAGACTGAAACTGTCACTGCATCAAGATAACACTGATGAAGTTTTTGCTAAGATCAAGGAGGAGTATCCAAAATATGTCGATCATGTGCATTTGAAAAGAGTACAAAGCGCCGAATTTGAGAAGGATAAAAAAAGTAATTCTACCAGAATCCTTGAAATCGATTTTGCAATGTCGTTTTCTTGCGAATATCAAAATGAAATTCACTCTGTTGTACAATTTTTCACTGTTCAATTTGCACTCCGGGCACGTTCAAGTGTACTTCTGTTTACAACTGCAGTTTTCTGTAAAGGTCAATGCACCACTTATTTAATTTGCTCAGATTGCCATAACAAAGGTAAGGACTCCGTATTCGTGTTCCTAAATCATCTTTTCGAAATTATATTTAAAGAAGACAAATACGACGATTTTCAAAATGTGATATGGAGTGATGGTCCAGCTTCAGAATTTAAAAATAAGTTTATGCCAGGTCCAGCTGCTCCATCTCTTAAGTCTCAAATTCCACAGAAAATTTGAATGGAAATATTCAGCAAACGTCTCATGGGAAAGGGGTTGTGGTTGGTGTAGAAGGAAATGTGAAATGTTTAGTGAAGCAAAAAATGCTCAGTCAGGCTGGAATTATAAGTTCAATCTGCAGAAGATTTTTTCCAAATTGCGTCAGATGTGGTCAAAACTACTAAAGTTTATATACATATATCTCAGTCTCAAATTTTCACGCAAATATACACGGAGAAACCTTGGTTGCGCGTTAAGGCAATTCCAGGTATTTTAAATTTTCACATCATCTTTTTCTCCTGCACCTCCGACGAGGTGCACTCTAAAAGACACGCTTTATGTGACCAAGTTAAAATTATTAATTTATAATTAAACTTATGTCCTAAATTCACCTAAATATGATATTTCCATATGAACAAGTTAAAAATTTATGCTGAAAACTATTATTCTCGAAGATTCGAAGAATCGAAGATTTTTTCATAATATATTAATTATTGATGATAGTTGTTTTGTGTTCTTTCTCATGTACTCCTTAGTGTTCCCTTTATTTGTCATAAGCCAACCTTTGAGTTATTATATTCCAATTCGCTATTTTTTTAATAAGCTAATAAAAGCTAGTGTTGTTTCGATGTCCCGCACAAGACTGAATTTAAAACGTTCATAAATGTCTAATGGAATGATTTTTCCAAAAAAACAGGGTATTAAGTTATGAGCAATGGTGATATTGTAAAGAAATGGAAAACTTTTATTAGATTTGTTCGTTCATAAAAATAACATTGGCGTTTAAACAATTGAACTGTCATACGAATGTCTCGCACGCGACTGTGGAATGCTCCTTTAATTCCTGACTTCTCAGAATAGTAAACCCAAAACAAAATTTGTTCAGAAATTTCAACTCTCACATATTTTCATATTTTCATATCAATTTTCACATATTTTTTCATAAACAGATACATACAAATTATGTCAACAAAAATTTATATGGGAGTTTGCCATTGTGTACTATGTTATAATAGTGCAGATTCTGAGAAGTCTGGAATTAAAGATATTCCAGTTTGAATTGAGATTTTTTGTCAGTTTTTACTACTTTCTCGCATGGCATATTTGGAGAAGGAATTGTGTACTTTATTTTTTGTTGTTATTTAATAAAGTACTTAGCTAATATTTTATTACAAATCGGTTGAATCAGTGCATTTGATATTACGTGAACTAACTTAGTGTGAACCTGTTATGTGCGTAAGTACTAAAAATATTTTATGGTGGTTAGATGTCGCTTACCGTTAAGACAGTTGTAGATATCAGTCAGGTTACATACACATTTGCACACTTAGATAGACCTTTGGTAATACAATATACAGAAAAATCTAATGAATTTATTTTTAATCAATCTTGTAAATATGATATTTCAAGACGCTAAAAAGAATTATTTTAACAATGATTTTCGCTATCGTTCTTTGCAATAATACCTACAAGTCCAATTTTTAACCGACTTCAAAAAGGAGGAGGTTTTCAATTCGACTGTATGTATGTTACGCGATAACTCCGCGATAATTTTTATAAATAGCGCCTTAATTTTATTTAAGGAGCAATTATTTTAATGGTTGGTTTTGCTATTCTCCAATCCAAGGCATTTTTCTCTCTCAGTATACTTTGAGTAGTGAGAAACGATTTTTATCATCTCCTGTGTCAAGTCTCGTATAGTGGCGAACTAGGGAATATTTTAATAAAACTTAGAAAATAGACGTAATTCCACGTACTTTCGAGGTCGGTTTTTTTAGTACTCTGTACTGAGATTATAATTCAAATGATCCATCTTCGTATGAAACAACTGGTACCATTACCATTATTACCAAATCCAGTGTACTAAAACGAAAAAGATTACCTAAATATTATCAATATTATTATCAAACTGAAAGATTTTTTAATATACACAATAAGTTACATATCGTGTACATATGTTCGATATACTACTATAACCAATTATCTAGATTTTTTACAGACAATTACTTTATACAGAAAACGACATAATTGCTTATGTAAAATGCAAATGTGGAATCATCTGTTACAAATTAACGTGGATGAATAATAATAATAATAACTTATTTAATAATGAAAAATAATGACATTACAAAGTGCATGAGAACAAAGACTTAAGTTGTACAAGAAAAGGAGAAATGCCATTTAAAAGTGATCCCCTAAACTAGGATATCCTGTGTCTTAGGAGTTAGTGATTCCTCCAACATTGAGTATCAATTACGTAAATAAGTGTGTGTGTGTGTGTGTGTGTGTGTGTGTGTGTGTGTGTGTGTGTG